CGGGATGCAAGGCATGTATACCCCAACTGTGCTGCCCTTTATCACTGTCTATTAGAGCAGTGGTCTCCAACCTTGGGCCTCCAGATGTTCTTGGACTACATCTCCCAGAAGCCTTCACCACCACCTCTGCTGGCCAGGATTTCTGGGAGTTGAAGTCCAAGAACATCTGGAGGCCCAAGGTTGAGGACCACTGTGTTAGAGCAAATAATGGATGTGGCACTATGGTACTGTCTTTTTCTTTCTTTCTTTCTTTCTTTCTTTCTTTCTTTCTTTCTTTCTTTCTTTCTTTCTTTCTTTCTTTCTTTCTTTCTTTCTTTCTCTCTTTCTTTTTGGTAGCATATGTTTTCTGCCTTTTTCAGTGGATGCCACAGTAACATGATAATGAGGGGCAGTGCTTTGCTTCCTACCTCAAGCAACTTTGGCCCTGTGAAGAGCTCCCCTGAAAATGAATGTTGTTGTTGTTGTTTAGTCATGTCCGACTCTTCGTGACCCCATGGACCAGAGCACGCCAGGCCCTCCTGTCTTCTACTGCCTCCCGGAGTTGAGCCAAATTCATGTTGGTCACTTCGATGACACTGTCCAACCATCTCATCTTCTGTTATCCCCTTCTCCTCTTTCCTTCACACTCTTCTAACATCGGGGGCTTTTCCAGGGAGTCTTCTCTTCTCATGAGATGGTCAAAGTATTAAAGCCTCAGCTTCAGGATCTGTCCTTCCAGTGAGCACTCAGGGTTGATTTCCTTCAGAATGGATACGTTTGATCTCCTTGCAGTCCAGGGGCCTCTCAAGAGCCTCCTCCAGCACCACAATTCAAAAGCTCTCCCTAACCCATGTTGCTATTTATTTTCCTAACACTCTCCAGTCAACTTCTTCATCTTCTCCTCCCACTTCATTTTTGTGTAGTTTTTTTAAAGATCAGAAAGTATGTAGCTTGCTTTTCCTAAAAGGACTTTACAGCTTTACTCTAAGGTTGAGATCTGTTTTAATTGCCCCTGGAGGCTTATGACAATATCACAAGCACAAGCATTATTTGGGCTAAAGTTAGATTTAAATTAGGCCCTCTCCAGACTGAAACTGAGTGATTCATATGTACAATCCAAGACCAAGTTATTTTCACTATACAGTGTTACAGAATAATGATAAATCAAGTTCCAGGTAATTTATGCATGGCATGTCACGGCGGCAAAGAATCAATTCACCATATCATAGCTGATGATATGAAATATATGTTCAGGCATAACTAAATTGCAAAGATCATTTTTCAGCAATTGGCTAACTCTTACTCACATCTTTTCCACCTTATTACAAATTCCACCCTTGTCCAGTTTTAGAAAATGAAACCACAGTACTATACTGGTACAAACTACTCATCACTGATAAAACATAATTTTAACAAACTGGGTCTTATACAAGACAAAAATACCTTAGTTGGAGTTCCATCAAAAGTAGATTCAGACCCTCAAAATGGAAAATAAAAACTAGTTCATCTTGCAGTTTCTATATATCTATTTCTGGTTTTCTGCAAAACAGACTAAGGCTGCGGTCACACAAGCAAAATGTTCCCAAGTTACTCCTCATGAGTTTCGATAATGAGTGTGTGTGATTTAGATGATGCATGGCCATTACTGCTTCTTTTGTTCCCCTCTCTACTATCTGTGCATCGAATCCAGCCCACTGGGAGGCTACAACTATATTACTGTTCCCAAGTTACTCCTCATGAGTTTCGACAATGGGTGTGTGTGATTCAGACGATGCATGGCCATTACTGTTTCTTTTGTTCCCCCTCTCTACTATCTCTGCATCGAATCCAGCCCACTGGGAGGCTATATTAGTTCTGCATTTCATTGCACAGTACAACCAACATCCCATTGAGTGTGTACTCCAAAACCAATTAATCTCCTATTCATCTGGTGTGCGGTCCCACCATCACCACTGGCTGTCATTTGACTCCCTTAATTTTAAAATAAATAATTTTCAAACACGAATGTCTGCTTTAAAAAAATAATTTTCAAACACGAATGTCTGTGCATTGGTATGCTTCCGTCAAAAGGAAAGTGGGTTTCATTAACCTCCACCATTGAGGGTAATGAAGCAGAGAAACAGGAAAAAAATGCCCGAGATCAGTACATGGCCAGTGAAGGCATTTTGCCGACACACCAATGCATCTGCATAATTTTTTTAAAGGGGGGGAGATTGGGGGGAGAAATGCACAAAAAGAGAAATAGATATGCCCCTTTGCAAGGGGGGGGGGAGATTGGGGGGAGAAATGCACAAAAAGAGAAATGGATATGCCCCTTTGCAGGGGTGTAGATAAACATACCACATCTAATTTAATTAAAAAATTTGGAACAGTTACAAAATGTATGAACCGCTATTATGGGCTATATGTCACGTGACTGCAACACGGGACTCTACAGGAAGCAAAAGACACAAAAAATGAAGGCATTCTCTAGTGTGGGGGGAGAAATGCACAAAAAGAGAAATGGATATGCCCCTTTGCAGGGGTGTAGATAAACATACCACATCTAATTTAATTAAAAAATTTGGAACAGTTACAAAATGTATGAACCGCTATTATGGGCTATATGTCACGTGACTGCAACACGGGACTCTACAGGAAGCAAAAGACACAAAAAATGAAGGCATTCTCTAGTGTGACCGCAGCCTAACATAGCTACCTACTACATTAAATCTGTAGCTTGTATAAATAACGGAATGCCTTCTACAGTATATGAGAAATGAGTAAAATGTGCACTGTATATATACTGTGGTACCTCGGTTTACAAAAGTCTCGGTTAACGTAATTTTTGGTTTACGAATGAAAATCCATTGAAAATAATGCCTCGGTTTATGATTCCCCCCCCCCGCAATACGAAGCAACTTTGCATTGCACCTGGGACGTTTATAGCACCACCCCTGTGCATGCATTCCTATGGGAAGCCGCTTCACTTTGTGAATTTTTCACATTATGAAAAGTCACAGAGAATGCATTAAATGTGTAAACCAAGGTACGCCTGTACACACAAATTCCATTATATTTTCCTGTCCATATTCTTAATTTTCTTGTAAGAGTCTGAGGCATTATAGATAAGAAGGCTATTCCATTTGACCTCACAGTAAGCTTTGTAAAGTATGATTTGCTGACAATTAGAGTAGGTTCTGTTATTTAATTTATAACTGAGAAGAACTGGAACTTTTTGCAACCTCTGTCATGATCAGCATTCTAATACCTATTAGAAATATTTTGCAAGATATAAATAAGCGACTTTTGATTCAGAATGCTCGAAAGAGCACATTTTCAGAATGCTATGTCATATGCCAAGGTTATCTTTTTGCCAATGTCCACCAAAAAAGAGAAGGGAAAGCCATGGCTTCTGCTTGTGAAGTTAAGATAAGCCCAAATTTTGTATATTGTTTCAATAAATATCCTCTTCCTCATCAAACTTCAGAGCTGGAAAGGACTCTTTTGTTCTTGTTGTTTAGTTGTTTAGTCGTGTCCGACTCTTCATGATCCCATGGACCAGAGCACGCCAGGCCCACTGCCTCCCGGAGTTGGGCCAAATTCATGTTGGTAGCTTCAATGGCACTGTCCAACCATCTCATCCTCTGCCGTCCCCTTCTCCTCTTGCCTTCACACTTTCCCAACATCACAGTCTTTTCCAGGGAATCTTCTCTTCTCATGAGATGGCCAAAGTATTGGAGCCTCAGCTCCAGGATCTGTCCTTCCAGTGAGCACTCAGGGTTGATTTCCTTCAGAATGGATAGGTTTGTTCTCTTTGCAGTCCAGGTGGCTCTCAAGAGTCTCCTCCAGCCCCACCATTCAAAAGCATCAATTCTTCGCCGGTCATCCTTCTTTAGGGTCCAGCTCTCACTTCCATACATCGCTACTGGAAAGACCATAGCTTTGACTACACGGACCTTTATACGCATAGGACTCTATGGATCATCAATTCCAGCCTTTGTCAAAGAGGTACAGTTGGGAATTGAACTTCCAATCTCTGGCTCCACAGCCACATGCATAAACCAGTGAGCAATCCGGCTAAGACAGAAAGCTTCTTCTAGAGGTAGTGAGAGCTGCCAACTTGAACAGCTTTATGAGAAGATGCAGTGCTAAGGCCATCAATGGATACAGTATATCTCTATGTCTGAAATCATGTTGCTTAGCATTATAAGTGGAACTGGCAACTAGAGTAGGCCTATTGAATCAATGGAACCTATGAAAGAGGTGGCTTATCAAATCACCAGTGATTCAGTGGGCCTACCTTAGTTGTGACATACCATGTAGAGCAACAGGATTTGAAGATGTAAGGGCAGTAGCATGCTCTCATTTATATCAGTTACTGTTTTGCAACTGATCTAAATTAGAGCATGTTATTGCCTTTACATCTTGCTTGTAGGGTCCTCATAGACAAGTAATTGCCTATTATGTAAAGAGAATGCATGCCTAGGCAGTCTTTTTTTGTGATAAGCATGACTCTTCTTGTGTCATGAATCATGGGCCAATTTACACTGGTTTCTTTAGAAACTGAAGGTATTTTCAAAATCTGTAATTTCACCAGCTGAATACTGGCACACACGTACAATCCTGAAACAACAAAACAGTGGTGAATTCTGTAATACCAAAGGTCCACAAATCTAGCCCTCTGCATTAGGAACAGGTGTGCTCTACTGAGAGGTATTTAAATTTAAATGCTTGCAAGGCAATTGGATTTAAATGGCACAAAACACTCAGCAGGAAGAAGAGACTAGCCTATCGTAAAGACAACCATTTAGATAGCTGTCACTGTAGCTACAATTCTCTTACACAAAAAAGAAAAATCCTGACTCCATATCAATCAGACGGGCATTGAGAGCAGGCAGGAAAGGACGTATTACAGTTTGAGAAATTATTCATACCAAAAAATAAAATAAAAAAATTCCACACCATTTAACTAATTACAGGTTATCAGTATATTCACCAAAATACACTCCACAGGATGAATATTCGTGCTGTTATCTTACCTTCATAATATACTTTAAATCCATGGGCACTCACTGCAAAGTCACTGGTCAATCTTAGAGAGAATACAGATTTTGTACTGGTCACAGGGGGAGGAAGATGAAATCCTGTTAACCTGAAAACAACACCAATAATTTATTTAATTATCTATTCCACATAATAAGGAATAGCCAAGTTTCATTCTCAATACCTTGATTTTAAGGTGATCACAAAATATTACATTGTTTTCCTTGTGTTTTTGAAAATTATACCTTATTTGAAAAATGGGAACAATGAAAAATCATGGAACAATGTATTAGGGAACAATGAAAAATTACAAGCATTGTTTACACTGGGGAAGCACAGTGAAAATCTAGCCAAAGAATTAAATTTACAAAGGACAAATTGTTATGTTAAACAGTAGAACTAACCAGCTGAATACTGCTCATCAGCCATGTGTGGCAGCATCATCAGGGCTGCATAAATTCATGCCTTTGCTGCATTCCAGGAACTACAAAATAATGTTGACATGGAATCTCCTTGATGCTCAGCAGTCCACAAATATGGTCAGCCTGGTTCAGCCAGTTTGAGGGTCACAACTTCCATAGGTTAGATGGAACCACAAAGTTTCAACAGTATTAAATGGTTGCTCTCCAAACATAATCAAACATGTTTTGGCTGTTGCTAAAAAGCAAATGGTACTTCACATGTCATACATGTTGATTTTGATAGCTGCTATTCTGTGAAGGATTTGAAACTGATGATCTGTAATGTTTAGTTCTGGCCTTTGCATATGTATCTGTTTGGCCTCTGAGGGAACAGAATGCTGGAGTAGATAAGCCATTGATCTGATCTAGCACAGATCATAATTCATAATTATTTGAAATTATCCAGAAGGCCACAGTTAAATTTTCATTCTGCCATGGGTGACTTCGCACTTCCATATTCCTGCATATAACTGTGGGGGGGAGGCCATAAAAGCAGCATCTGTCACAGTGTTAAGTCCAGATGCTGACCTGGAAACAATATGGCTTCCATCACAGAACTAGCAGATAGCCTGTAGTTGGGTTTATGTTCTTTGCTGTTATGTACTTTTCACATGTCTAGTGAGCATGTCCCAAAATTATCACATAAACTATGGGAATCTCAAAACATGTGCTTCACATCAATATACTAACAACTAAATATGGTTTACACAGAAATTGCAGCATCCCGCCCAGCAGGGAAAAAATCGGAGGAATCAGTCTTCCATGGCTACAGCCTAGCCCCACTATATCTCAAACTCAAATTCTGGGTTTTGGTAAATCAATGTATAAGAGTTGTGTTTTGGTTCTGAAAGCACAGCTGTACTGCATTTGTGGTTGCTGCTGTTGATGATGATGGGAGTAGCAGCCTAGCGACATTATTGTCTACACCTGGTTAATATAATAAGAAAAGTAGCTCTGAGCTGATGATCATGTAAGTTATGTTGGTGCAAAATGTTCTATCTCGGGCTGTTCCTGAAAAACATTTTGAAACTTCAGTGAACAGTGCATGCAATCAGGATTATAACTGGGGTCTCATTTGGGGTGATACATGAGGATGACTATTAATATTATTTACATTCATAACCCAACTTCGCAGTAGACTGAGAGAATATAACCAGCCTAAGGTTTGCCAATGAGTTTCATGTCTAAATGAGGATTTGAACTCCTGCGTTCTACTGGAAATTTGTAATCATTACAACAAACCAGCCCTCACATTTAAATTATCAAACCTGTGTCATAATCATCATAATCACCCATCTCCTGAAAAGGACAAAAGCTGATCCCACAGCCATAAATACTGCGATCCCACAGCCATATATACTGCACTCCCAAGCCAACTACACCAGAGCACAGAGTGCTGTCCTCTGAAGATGCCGGCCACAGAGACTGGTGAAACATTAGGAAGAACAACCTTCAGAACACGGCCAAAGAGCCTGAAAAACCCACAACCATTAGCTCCCAGCCGTGAAATCCTTTGTGAATACACTGTCTCATAATTCTTACTGGAGATGGGCAAAAACTGCTGGTTTGGCAGTTCTAAGTCCCGCCTCCTCTGGCAGGTTGCCCACTCAGCACCTGGAGGAAGTGTGGCAGGGAAACTGGGGCACTGCCTCTGAGTGGGTGCCCACAGGAGGAGGTGGGGCTAGGAACCACCAAACACTTGTTTGTCCAAAGGAAAAATGCAGGCTTACATCTGCACCTCCTGGGCTTCTACTGCAGTTAGTGCTGCTCCATCTGTAACTGCAGCAGTAGCAGCAATGGGACAGGGGAAGCTGTTTCTCCTTAAAACAAGGTGCATATCCACATATTCAGCTGGTTTATAAGAGGAATTGTGTTCACAGAGGCAAGCTCCTGCTTGTAAGCAAGATATGCAGGGAGGGTTTGCCTTAGTTTCAAAAGAAGACATTAGAAGAATTGTTTCCAGCACCCAGTAGTGTGGTCGGATGCCAGTGTTGCCCCCAACCACAGAATCTGTCTCTATGTGTTATGTAGCATTAAGCTGTAACCAATTCATAGCAACACTAACAGTAGAAGAGATGTTTGAGGGATGTAAGTTCCCATGGCTGAGCAGGGATTTGGACCCAGGTCTCCTGAGTCCAATTCCATCACACTATCCTCATTGAAAAAGTTGTGACAGTTAAAATTATACAAACTCTTGCTTGTGTGTATTTAAAGAGATCAGTGTTTTAAACGACTAACAGTAGAAGAGATGTTTGAGGGATGTTTTCACCCCGCCACCGCACCAGTAAGTTCCCATGGCTGAGCAGGGATTAGAACCCAGGTCTCCTGAGTCCAATTCCATCACACTATCCTCATTCAAAAAAGTTATACAAATTCTTGCTTGTGTGTATTTAAATTGACCGGTGTTTTAAACAATTAAATTAGTTTATTCACCAGAGATATACCTGCCATTTTTGCTTTTAAAACCTGACTTACAGACTTTTTGACTTGAGAACCGCCTTCCACTACGGATTACGTTCTCAAGTCAAGACCCCACTGTAGTTTATTCGCCAGAGATATACCTACCATTTTTGCTTTTAAAACATTGTCTTGCTTTGATCTGTATGGAAAATATCACTGCAACAACTGTTATGAACCATCCAGTTGCTTTCAATGTGTGGTGCTCCTTGACAGAGCTTTTGAGGAGTAAAAGCAAAGCAAAGCATGCTGCTGATATACCGCCCCATAGCGCTTCAACCACTCTCTGGGTGGTTTACAAGTTAATTATGCAGGCTGCACATTCCATTGTACCTGCCAATTAGTTTTCTTAGCTAAGGGGAAATTTGAACCCAGATCACCAAGGTCCTATTTTGACACTCTTTTTCACTACACCATACTCAATCTCTTGCTATTGGTCATGTGCAAAAGTAACAGCAGTCTACTAGTTTCAGCAGTTTCCTTTTGATTGTTATCTAGAAGCCTTGTGGAGATTTTTGTCTGTCGAAAATTTCATTGCACCTCATCAATGAAATTTGTACCAGATGACAGGAAAGACTGAGTACAAGAAATGCCATCTTGTACTCTTACAGATTTATGAGCAAGCTACTTCCTGTACCACAAAATTGTTCCAAATGATTTGTTTAATGAGTTAAATACAATAAAAGTCAGGGATTTCCATCTGCTCTATTCTCCATCCATTACCTCATCTTATTTTAATTTTAGCCTTGACTGAAAAAGTGGTTCATATGGGGATACAATTAGTCTCATGACCAGCTTCTACTACATATTGAATGTAATGAAAATTAAATGCTCCTAATACGAAATTAGGGACATGGTGACACTGTGGGTTAAACCGCAGAAGCCTCTGTGCTGCAAGGTCAGGAGACCTGCAGTTGTAAGATTGAATCCTCGCGACTGAGTGTGCTCCCGTCGCTTGTCCCAGCTCCTGCCAACCTAGCAGTTCAAAAGCATGCAAATACAAGTAGATAAATAGGTACCACCTTGGTGGGAAGGTAATGGCGTTCCGTGTCTAGTTGTGCTGGCCACGTGACCACGGAAGATTCTCTTTGGACAAAACACTGGATCTACGGCTTGGAAAGGGGAATGAGCACCACGCCCCAGAGTCGGACATGACTGGACAAAATTATCAAGGCGAACCTTGACAAAATTGGTTGGATATTTGGCTGCAGAGCTAGAGTTGGGAGTTCAGTCCTCCACTATATCAACTGGGGAGAAGAACAAGCCTGTGCAACCACAGTTCCAGGGCACATCCAGAATAAAGGAATGGTAAGTACACTTCTGAGTATTCTCTACCTAGAAAACCCTGGAAAGAGTCGCCTTTAGTTGGAATCAACCTGATGACACACAAACACAAAATTAAAGAAAACAAAATGTAATTACTTGGCAAGTAACCACTCTAGAGAGAGAGACTACAGTGCTAAGCACCAAACAATAACATAACTAGATTGATTTTATCCAGAAGCTAAAACTCTCTCTTTCTTCAATTTAAGAAAAACCTTTTTTCTCAACAATTTCTCAGAACATTTTTTCATTTTTCTAAGAAGGCCATTTGATTTTTTTATTCAAAGCCATTCAAAAATGTGTCTAGGAGAGTTCATATATTACACGGAAGCACAGGCATGAAAATATGGCAAATCTGCAAGTTTTTTCTGTGCTTGCTTCTGACATGAAGAATTAGGTATGAGTGTCCAGAACCTTCTCCATAGCTCACAGATCACACACTGTGGGACATCTGTAAGTTCCATATCAGAGAGAGTAAAAAATATATAGGAATAAGAGCCCTATTGTGCTTATTTTTCCACAACAGTGAGGTTATGGCAGCCCCCAAACTGCTCTGTAGATCTGATCATTTCATCATCCCCCAAGGCTGGCTGGTGTACATCACTTGAAAACACATACAATCAAAGCACTAAAGAAAAGCAAACTAAAATCAGCAGCAGCAAGACGCAAAAAATGCATGAAATGAGAGACACAAATCAAACCACCCAAAGCATGGTGGAAAATAACATTTTTGACAGCATATTAAAATATCAGTAAAAAGAGGCCCATCTGGAATTTCACAGACTGTACCAAAGTCTAACCAGCTGAACATATGGGACAGAACCAACAGGGTTCTTCTAGAAGTTGCTTCTGCCAGTGGAATTATGGG